ATAATAATTGACATAACAATTAAATTAAAAAAAAAAAAAATTAAACATCAATCAATTAAGTATAAAGAGTGAATATGAAAAAACACAATATATTTATTAGCTAAATGAGGGTAATAGTGAAAAAATATGTACAAAATATACAACACGACGTTTATTTTGTTAATAGTTGATAACAATGACGGATCTAGGAATTTGATTCAGGGGGGCCTAATTTTAAATGTTAAATAACGAGCTTGTAGTTTAAGACGAAACGCTCATTTCATATAAAAATGTATTTACTATAAATATAAATACCGATAAGTGTACCATCAAGTGTTTAAAAAAAAAAACTTAAAATTCGTACCACCCTCAAACTTTTTTTTTTTTTTGAAAAAAAAAGACATTTCACGTATTTATAATTTAACTTCAACATATGTAAGTTATGGAAAAATAAGTTTTTTGGTAGAAAATTTGATTTAAATTTAACTTTTCCAGCACATTGCATAACATTTTAGTTGATGAGAGCTTACCAAATGAACATTTTTTAAGGAAATTAATAAAGTTAAAAACATGTGATTACACAGAAAACATAACAATCCAACTAAATACTCAATTTTATATTGCTAAAACAATTTACAATTAAGAGACCGAAAGAATAAATCATTAAAATATTTTCAAAAACTTATCTAGGAATGAAAAATATAATAATTGTTAACACATATTTCACTAAATAAGTATTATTATTAGTTTAAATTAAAGCAACATAAAAAAAATTTAATATTAATATATTGTAACGATTTTTGCATTTCTATACATATTCTGTAATATTTTTCTTTATATATACATATACATATATATGTATATATATGTATATATATATATATATTTATATTACTTTTCTTTAAACAAACATATTTATAATATTTTCTTTATATATATATATATATTGATTTTTACAAAAAAAAAATAAAAAAATGAGGGGGCCCACGGGCCCCCCGGCCCTCATAAGGCTCCGTCCCTGGTTGATAATATAAAAATGACATTTAAAAAGAATAAGATGAAGTATATCATTTCAGGCATGCACAACCCTTAACACAAAAATCATTTTTTCATTAATAAAATAACACCGTTTAAAAAAAAAATAATAAAATAACACTCTCTCTCATCCACATCATTTTTCCACTAAACCCTTCTCCATTTAAGCACACACCCACATTCCTACACATTTATTTAAATACATATACGAGACTCATTATTCACCCATTCAGTATAATTTTTTATATTATATTCTCAATAAAAATAAGTTTTAATATTTTTTATATTATATTCTCAATAAAAATAAGTTTTAATATTTTTTAATTAGAATAATAAATTTTAAATGCATGAAAATGAAAGAACACTACAAGACCAAAATAACTTAAATTAATAAAAAATAGTACAATTACAATATATATATATATATATATATATATATATATTGTAAAACTTAAATCCATTGAACCAATATGTGAGCCCCATTAAATTTTAATGGATGAGCCGCATCCGGTTGAACGCGGGGGGCCGTTTAAACGGAAAATCCATGGGTGCTATCATTTACATAAATACCATTATAGAGAAATGCTACGGTCTCATTACGGAACCATTCCGTCGGGATTTGTAACCGTTAGATCATTATGTAACCGTCAGAGATAGTTGATCTAACAATTACATATCCCGACAAAATGGTTCCGTAACGGGACCGTAACATCTCCCACTATTATATATATAGTTTTATTTAAAATGTTGGTTACAAATATCAAGAAAACATAGTTAATCATACAACTTTTTGTATTGACACGTGTCCAATGTGTATTTATTACAGGACACGTGCCAATACACCATTTGTGGATAATTATAGATGACTCAATAAGCCGAACCACCCAATAACTCCATATCAAAACCATATCAAACAACATTTTTACATTTGAACCAAGTCATATATATCAGGCCACATTTGGTAGACTTTTTTTTTGGATGGTTTTTATATAAAATTGGATTTTTTTCATTGTTAATTTCATTTGTATTGAAATTAACGTTTGAACATATCTGAATAGTATATATATATAAAAATAAAATAAAATGATAGTTCGATATTACGGTCTCGTTATGCAACCATGCCGTCGTAATTTGTAACCGTTAAATCAACTATATCTGACGATTACTTGATGATATAGCGGTTACAAACCCGACGGAATGGTTCCATAACGAGACCGTAGCATTTTCCGTTTTCATATACTATAATATATATAATTCCAAAATGAAAAATGAAATAAATATGTATGTTAATTAAACTGAGAGAAATAAAAGAAAAAAAAACTGAAGTTTAGAGTTGCTGTAACTCGCAATAAAACTTAGTTATCGACGCACGATTTAATCAAACATCGTCGTGATCACACATCAGAACTGTGGCAACTCTTGATAAAACAACGGAATTCACGATGGAGATGGATCGGTCATGAGTTATAAATCTACTTACGAATTCGGTCACCCTCGTGAATGTACGAGGTTCCAAGCCACCAGGGCTTGCGGTAATTAGGCTCCCAATCGGTGACAATCCAGAGTAAGTGGTGGGTCTTTCTGGCTTTAGC